GCCCGCAGCGCGCGGAGGGCGCACCTGGCCGCGCTGCCCGAGCGCTACGAGCCGCTGGAGGAGCCGGCGCCGGCCGAGAGGCCCGCGAGGAGGCACCGGCAGAAGCTGAAGAAGTGCGGCAAGGTAGGGCCCTGCGCCCGTCCCCGCGCGGCCTCTGCGCTGCCCCGGGGGCCCCGGCCCCGCTCCCTCGCCAGAGCCGGGACTAAGCGGCGAGGGGTGATACGCACTCAGGCGGGGCCGCTGGCGGGTTCGTAGCTTCCCCAGGGGCTCCAGGGTGGTTCTCCTCCTGTGCAGCAGCCAGGACAGGAGTCGGTGTCCCCATTTTACAGATGGGAATACTGAAGCTCTAGCGCCGCAAGGTGACTTGTCGAAGGTGACGCAGTTGGAAAGTAAGGCGTTGCACCCCAGTTTATCTGTTTACAGCAACCACTGGCTGAGAAGTGTATGGGTTGTTCCCCACATATTCCCAAGGTTATTTCCAGGGCCTGGGAACTCACATACATAAATACGCGCTTGTTGAATCTATTTTTCTCTTCTAGCCGACCGTCTGTGTACTCTGGGGCCCTCAAAAATCCTGCCATTTACACTGGGGGGAAAGGGGACAGTAGAGAGAGAGAGGAAGGAAGAATGTAGATAAAATGACAGATTTCTTCTCAGGGATCGGCCCAAAGGCAGGTCCCGGGTACCTCTATGGAAATGCAGGAAACTGCTGCCGCCTCTGCTCCCCGGGCCTGGCGAGACCGCCAGAATAAACTCACAAAACTCACTGTGTCCTGGCCAAAGGCCGTGGGCCCCACCTGATTTATTGTGCAGTTATCTGTGTCCTTCAGTGGCCTCTTATCATACCTGAAGCCATTCAGTCTCCAGTTCTGGGAGCTGAGTTTTATCATTCTCTTTAAATGTGCCCCAGCAGCTTCTGGAGCAGCACACCAGCAGGCAATGGTAAAATATATTGATAAAAACTAGAAAGTTGGGTCTTTCAGGCTTAGAGTCATGTTAGGACTAATCATCTCTCTTCTCAGTCCCAGCTGAGCACAAAGAAGCCACCATTTGCCTCTCAGCTGGTGAACTGATAATGTGGAAACCTCAGCTCAGAGGCTGGCACCTGAAAATGGCTTTTGGGTGCTCACTATGTGCCAGGCATTGTGCTAAGCGCTAGAGATACAAGAATGGATACGGCGCAGCCCTGCCCTAGAGGAGGCACAGCCTCCCAGGGAAATGCTGACATGGCTGGGTACCACCATGGAGCTGCAGGCACAGAACTCAGGCAGTCAGCCAATCAGGGATAAGGCTGAAAATTCGGAGAAGTTTTCAAATCATGGTGACATGAAAACTGGGCACAGAGGATGAGTTAAGCTTTCACCAGATAATAATGAAGTACCACTTCATACTCGCTAGGATGGCTACTTTAAAAAAAAAATCCAAACAAATATAAAATAACAAATGTTGGCAAGAATGTGGAGAAATCAGAACCCTTGCTCATTGCTGGTGGGAATGTAAAATGGCACAGCCACTGTGGAGAACAATTTGGCAATGCCTCAAAAAATTAAACACAGCACTACCATACGATGTGCAACTCCACACCTAGGTATGTAACCAAAAGAACTGAAACTAGGTACTCAAACATTTATTTTTATTTATTTATTTATTTATTTATTTATTTATTTATTTATTTATTTATTTATTTATTTATTTATTTATTTATTTATTTATTTATTTATTTATTTATTTATTTATTTATTTATTTATTTATTTATTTATTTATCTTTTTTCGTGTCTGGCAACGGATCGCAACCCTCAGTGTCACCCCCGTACCGGACCGGGACCGACAACGGGATTGCAACCCTCGGTGTTGCTCCTGTGCCTCGCTCAGCCAGTGAGCGGGAACCGGTCTGTATGTGGGATCCGAACCCTTGGCGGGAGTGCCACCACGCTCCCAAGCGGTGCACTATAGCAGTGCGTCACCGGGCCGGCCCTCAAACATTTATATACACATGTTCATAGCAGCATTATTTACAATAGCCAAAAGGTGGAACAACCCAATTGTCCATCAGTGGATGAATGGATAAACAACATGGGTAACATACGTGCAATGGGACATTACGCAGTCATAAAAAAGAATGAATTTCTGACTCATGCTACAACATAGGTGAACCTCTAAAAACATGCAAAGTGAAATAAGCCAAACCCACAAGGCCACATATTTATTGTATGTATGATTCCATTTATGTGAAATATCCAGAATAAGTAAATTCAGAAAGATGGAAAGCAGATTGGTGGTTGCCCAGGACTGGGGGAAGGAGGATCGAAGAGCAGCTGCTTCATGGAGTATGTGTTTTCCTTTGGGAATGACGGAAATGTTTTGGAACTAGATAGAAGTGGTCGTTGGGCAACATTGTAAATGTACTAAGTGCCACTGAATTGGTTAAAATGGTTAGTTTTATGTTACGTGAATTTTGCCTCAACTGAAAAAAAAAGATTTTGCCTAATAGAGAAGGGGTGGCATCCAGGGTGGAGGAGCAGGCAGTGGCGTGGGCGGGGGCAGGCCAGGCGGGAGGACACGGGCACAGGAGGGCTGGCTGTGCTCTTTCTGCCCTTCCACAGAGTGACTTTAGCTTCTGCTTTTTCTGAGCCAACCGAGAGGGTAACCAGGCTCCAACGTGGAGGAACAAAATGGTGATCCCTCTTTGCTGAAAAACCCTGAGAATAGCCGAGGCTGAGCTAGTGTCATGCTGGGGCTCTTGTCGAATCTTGTCGACATTGCCAGTTGTAGCGCTCTTAATCATGTTTGTGACACCAATTGTCTAGCTCCACGACCACGCCGGTTGTTGGGCTCTTTTACCTGCTGGTAATCCTGCCAACTGGGCCGATTGTTGAGCTAGGGCTGGGTCTGGAGCTCCCAGACCCCTCAAGCCCATTCACAGATTGGGTCACAAACCCTTCATATGCCAGGCTGGGTCACCAGGTCCCTTCACGCATGTCTGTGAGCTAGGTAACTGGCCAAAAGGTCCTTGGAGCCATAGGTTGGAAAGCATGGCTGTGCCAGGTGGAAGCCCGAGGCAGACACCCACCTGCCTGCTTCACTAAAACTCCTCTTTCTCTCTCTCTCTGAACAACACAAGAATAGCAACAAAACTAAAAAGATACATTGGTGCACACACGCACTAACTCCACACACACACACACACA